ATATGCTATCATTGTAAGACATAGAGTGATCATCGTCTATATGTCGCATTCACTCTGGGTTTATCCAAAGTGGGCAAATATAAAGCGATCATGACTATATTTTTCATAAATATCCAAAGTGTTTTTTAGATGTGAACAAAAATTTAAAATCTAACAGCAGCCTTAGTCAGTAGGGGAAATTATCTAATGTAGAGCAAATATGTGATGTGCATAACCGTAAACGCAATGCATATCCATAATTATAAGGAGTCAAAGGCAAGATACAAATAAAGGCTCAAAATTAGATAGCACGAAATAAGTGCTACTTGGATGGCTTAACATCAAGGGCGATTAGACCTTAAATCAAGAGCACCAAGCTCTGAGTGACCAGAATTATTAGACCTAGAGGGGGGGTGATTAGGGTCTTATGCTAATGCTAATCCGGATTTAAATTGCTTAATAAAATTATAACAAGTTATCCTACATATGAAATAAGAAGAGATATATGAGTTAGGATAATGCAATTGGATAAAAGATATATGCCTGATAATGAATGAAAATAATATTGCAAGGATATAATAAACTCAACACAGAAATTGATAATATACTACCAGAGACTAATACAATATGGAATGATATGCAGAGGATATGCAAGAACTGAACACAAAGAGGTAAAGCAATATGAACTGAGATAGTGGTCATATAAATAATGAGACAATGGCATGAGCTGAGCAATGAGCAGCAAATCAAGAATAAACGACAAAGCACACTCAAAGCACACAATAATATAGCGCGAGATGCGGACTATCGTATCCTACGTCTCCGCTCGCGCGGCACTCCGCGCGGGAGAAATCACTATCCAGTGACGCGGAAGTTTTGCTAACGTCACGAATGGAGAGATAAGCGAATACATTTACCCCCTCACACATGGTCGTTTTCAACCAAGCGCTCACCAGAACAGGTTCGACGCGTCCTCACACTCGGTTTTCTAGTTCACCGAAAACTTCACGATACACACACTCGGTTTTTCTAGCTCAGCTGAAACCTAGCATCTCCAATGTAACAAATATAAATTTGTTGGCTCTACAATAGATGAGAACTGCATATCACAGCAACTTCATGTTATAGATACTCTGCACAACGCGCTAATATATACTATGTATGTAAATACAATAGAGCTCGAAGTGGGTATAGAGTGTAAGCAATTGAGATTAAAATATAAATGCAAATCTAATATAACTCACTATAAAGATAACTACTTTAAAGAATGATAAGCAAAGATAACTAAAGCAAATGTAAAGCTAGATAGAGTTTAGAAACTTCTCGCAATAAGATGGCGACTGATGGAGAGATGAAGATTGAAGGGACGCCAAAACAAGGAAGATAATCTGCGCTCCACGTTGTGAAAGACAAGGAACAGGCTTTTAAAACCAACGCGCTTAACAAGCTTAAACTCTTTTTAAAAGCTTATGATATTAAAACATTCCTCCTGCTTAATGAGATAGAAGGGGGGGTTTGGGGTTTATATTAGGCAAGAGAATAACAAACAGCAAACCCCGAGAACAAAAATCGCGCAGAAAATAGGCCAAGTTATGGCATGGAACTACTGAAGACGCAAAAAAGAGCGCGATATGGATTTATACGATGATCGAACCTAAAGAAATCGCGTCTGAGTGCCGGACGCTGAACAAGGTCAGAATATGGGGGAATTTTGCCAGAGAGATCGGGTCGGTCGACAGAAGCGAGCCGGCAGGCGGTCGACCGCGATGGTGAGAGATTTTCAGCTGACGGTCCGACCGACGGAAAGTTTCTAGCTATAGCCGGCAGCTAATATGGCAAAAGAGCGCTCAGGCGGCAGGTCGAGAGGGAAAGCCGGTAGGCGGTCGGAGGAAGCTGATACACCGTGAAAACAAACGATGCTTAGAAAAGAGAGATTTCTCAAATGTGAATTTCATTTGTGAGAGAACTCATGTATTTTAGCAGTGTGTCCAAAACATGAAAAGAACCCAAACGCATGCATGTATAGTATAAAGACTATGATCTTGATCTTCAAATAAGCTTGACTGGTACAATTGTGGATGAAGCTTGAACTTGATGGCTTTAACTTTGTGATTGCGTATGAAGCTTATCAGCAATTCGGCCAAACCTGCCATTTGATATCGTCGTTGAAGACAATCCATCCAACTCGCAACTCGTTGTTTATGCCTAGAATAGAAATATGAAAACAAACACTGGAGACAAAAAGACATTAGTTTGGTAAGTTATTTTGTTAAGAGTCATCATCAAGA